TCTACATCTTTTCTTGCAATTGGCATTTGCTAATAGTTGCTTCAAAGATCCAATTTACTAAAGATAGTTACACCTCAAAATTAGTCAAGAAGATCATCCACTTATGAACGTAGATATGCATTTTTAATAGTCTGCTTATTGAAGCCTCAATAGTTGATGTAAAGGCAAAGTCCACCATCTTTCTTAAGTACAAAGAGTACAAGTGCTCTCGATGGTGATGTGCTTTCTCAAGTGAGGCCTTTCTCCAAGAGTTCATGTAATCTCTTTCGCGGCTCTTTAAGTTCTTTTGGTGTTAGGCAATAAATTGGTCAACTAGTTGGTTTGGCTCTAGGCAATAGTTCTATTTTAAAAGAGGCACCTCAATCAGGAGGTATACTATTAGGTAGGTTGGTTTGAAAGATATCCTCATATTTCCATATGAGTTGTTGTGGTTGTTCTATTCCTTTGGCTATCTTTTCCACTACTAAGATAAAATTTGGAACCAGCATATATATATATATATATATATATATATATGAGTTACTCATGCTATATTTATTTTTTTTATAAAGGTTGTTCCTACGAATAAGTCTTTGGTTGCAGATTGTCTTTCCTCTTCACTTGATGCAAAAGTGCAAAGAGTCACCTTGTATCTTCTATCTTTAAAAGAGATTGTCTTTGTTATCCAATAAACTTGCTTATTTTCCATCTCTAGCCATGGCATACCAAAGATAACATCATACTTTAGCTTTGTCACTTTAAATCTCTCTCTTAAGACGTAGGCATTTGTCAATTTCAAGGTTTTTTCTTTATACCTCTCACTCAATATGTTTTCTCAGTCATCTGCAAGGTATATACTTTCATCTTTGATTACTTTAGTTTCAATTCTAAGCTAATTGAGAATTTCAATAAAAATGTAATTTTTTGTAGAGCTACAATCTACAAGCACTCGACATGGTTGTCGTCGTAGTAGTTCCATTAGATGCATCAATTGACTCTTTTTATAGTTGTGTAAGGCTATGCCATTTTTCTTTGAAAGACAGTAGCTATCTCTAGTATTGACCCTCGGCGCCTTTATTGAGGAACCTTATTTTATTGCTCTAACTCATTATCGACTTGGTGAATTTCAAGAATACAAACTTGCCTTGTCTTGTTGGTACTTGAATTATAATGTTTTGGATAACCTCCGATCTGATGGCCTAGCTCCCAATAATAGAAATACAATCCTTTTTGTACCAATATTTTTTTATCTTTGTAGTGTTAATGATCCTTGTAAGGCATCAATCTCTATTGGTTTTGATTGTCGTGTCATAATATTAGATAGCGCCATAGGACTTCATGCTATAGGTCGTGCTCCATGATTTCTAAAATCTATAGCATTGTCCCTCCCTACAATCCAAATTTCTTTTTTAAATTTTTGTGGATCATTTAGCTCCACTCTTTGCTAGACTCCAAATTTCAAACCTTGTAGAAATTGATTGATCATCTCCACCTCTGAAATATTGCCAATTTAGAGACATAGGAACTTGAATTGGAAGACATAATCTTATATCGACTTAGCTTGTATAAGATCTGCCAACTGATCACATACTATCTTCTCCACATTGATGGATCAAAATTGATTCCTAAATTAGATTTCAAACTCCTCTCAGTCACAAAATCTACCTTAAGCTCCCTAACTTTGAATTCAATGTCGCCACCAAATGGTTGCCGCATCTTTCAAATAGTTAGGTGCATATATGATTCCTTCAGTGGTATTTGCTTCAGATAATTGGAGGTATTGTTGCATGTTGAAGAACCATTGACATACATCTTCTTGTCTTGAAGTTTTAGAATATTTACTAGGCTTATACAATTTCAAGATAGCAGATATCAACTCCTTTGTCCTCAAGGCTTCTATTTGCCTTTGCAAAGTAGCTATCTAGCCAAAGAGGTGTTATATTTGAGCTTCCATCTGGGATTGTTCTACCATATCTCTCATGCTCTAATTCCTCCGCTAGACTCAATTACTCTAATGTCTTCTCATTTCTTGATTGATTGATTGATTTTTTTTTTTTTTTCAAAGAAGCTTATGGTAGCCTCAACATAATACCCATTGTGACCACAACGAATTGACTTTGGACTAGATGATGACTATTGACATACTACAAAGACTAATCTAACACTCGCTCTGATATCAATGAAATAAGTTCAAATTATCTAAAAAATCCAAGATCCTTCTTATCCACAACAATATACAGCCTCATCATAAAATAGGTCAAAATAGACTAGAATAGATATGAACGGAATTAAACAAAATAGGACATGAAAGAAAAAAATTAAATAAACAGAAATAGAATAGAACAGATTTACATAGAAAGGTGCAGAACAAATTTTTTTTAAGAGAAAGGATCCAAAGCCATATCTGACCAGATGTCCTAGAAGGCCTTAGCCAATCCTAGTTATACCTTGTCCTATTACTTTGGACTTTCGAGAATATTCTTAAGTAATGGATTCCATTTAGATAACTACCTTGAACCTTTTTTAGAAGGTTCTATGGTAGGCCCCATCTAAATAACCATCCTAAACTCTTTCTAAAATGTTCTACGATGGATCCTATTTGATCCACTAATCTAATTCCAATTCTAGAAAGTTCGATGATTCTAACTATCTATACAATTATCTTATCTATACCCTATTATAAGAAAGCTTGACTCTTATCTCTATATATACTCTTAACTAGGTGCTATATGACAATGTCTTATGGGACTTCTAAAACGTGTTGACTTTGCAAGATACATATTTTAATTTGCAAGGTAAGTTTTTTATATGTGTGCCACATTGTTAGCTTCTTCCATAAGCTAGCAACATGTGGTTAACTTGTTGATCAAGTTTCTAACCTACCAATCAACTACAAACATTTGTAAAGTCAAAGCAATATCTATAAAGCTTCTAAGAAGCTTCTTAAGAAGGTATTATGAAATTTATCTACTTCTACCTACTCCTACCTAATTATATAGGTATTTACTAGAGTACTTATGTATATCCATGACAAAAGTTGTAACATTTTTACAATTCAATGACAATATCAATGCTACATGTATATTTAAAAGTGAAGGATATGCAAATTGATGCAATTATAAATTCCTCACTAAACAAGGAAGGAATTGATGTTGTCAAGAAGGATTGTACTTATATTGTAGAAAACTTAAGTACACTATTTAATATTATTCAAAAAAATAATGTAGTCACAAAATGACAAAGATGGTTATTAAAAAATAATATATTAATTTTTTTGATTAAAATAGAATTTTTCTTAAATATACTATATGAGAAATCAAATAAAAAGTTAAACAAAAGAGTTTCAACAAGAAAACTAACAAGAACTTGATTAAATCAAATGAGTATAAGATCATTACTAAAAGAGGTGAAATAAAGCTCTAAAAGTTGTGTTATTAAGATTGAAGATCTCTTTAGCCTCGATTCTAAAATATACTAAGTATTAAGAAAATTTTCAAGAAGTTTTGATATTGCTTGAAGACTTAGCAATTTTAAGAAGCTTTTTGGAAAACTTCCTTGATCTTACTAAAAATTTTAAGAATCTACTAGAATATTTTATGAATTTTTTAAAATCTTCTATTAAAATATTTTTAAAATCATTAAAAATCTTTTAAAACTTAATAGAATATTCTAAGAATATTTATAAAATTTTCTTGTTGGATGTTTGTAATATCATCTCTGAGTTCGAAAATAAGAATTGGTTTTATATTTGCAATATAATAATCAAAGCTTGAGCATCATCTTGAAGGTTTTTTTGTTTGAGTTGACCATAGCATAGGCGTTTCTTCCTTTAAGAAGGTCCAACTTCATCTTGAAGATGATCTTGCAAAGGTTGCTAAAGTTAAAATAGTTGATCTGACTCTACTTTGAGATTCATGATCTAAAAACTCTCTAAATACTTTCCGACTCAATATATTAGATCATAAATTGGATATACTAAACTCTAATGTTGTTGTGAGAAATACTTGCAAAAGTCTACTATTTATGTATAGCATTGGCTAGAGAGCATTAACATAGAGAGCATTAATTGTATCTAACACAATACAAAGTAGATACAAAAGATAATATTTGAACATTGAGCATTGTTGGCAATATCCATTAGCATAAACATTGATGATACTTGAAATTTTTCTATTTTCAAAAAGATGATAAGACATAAATAACAAATAAATACAATCAATGCAAGAACCAATTATATCATTACATGGAACCAAAGAATACCATTATAAGGATTAATAATTAACAATAATATACAAACATAGTATTAATTACGTCCATACTTTAATACAGCCACTTTTACATCCATGTAAATAGTTGTTGGATGTAGGTTGATCCTTCTTCTTTAATTGTTTTCTACTTATTCAAAGCATCAAGTATACACTGTTATGTGTCTTTATGTAAAGCAAAATATGTAAAAAAATAAACTGGAGAACTTCCCATGCCTAACCTATTGCATTCTCTTTCAACGGTGTGAGAAACATCAACTTCTCACTTCCACACGAGGCTGTAGGAGCAAAGCGACCACGTAGCCATGACGACTCCCCTGTGGCAGCCGTAGGTATGGTCCAGTGCTTAACGCTGGTTCGCACACTCACAAGCCAAGATGAGGCAGTGAGGCTCAAGCAACCATCCCATCGCCCCGTCTGAGCCCAAGCACCGAGGCACCCGGAATGTTCGACGCGAGAGCACTTGCAGCACCGCATCTCACTTCCAAAACTGGGATCACACCATGAAGATCAATCGACTGGACAATCACACTGTGGAACCATCCCCAAAACTACTCTCCCCGGGTCGGAACGAACCAACGAACAAAGGAAGGAACGAACGCGGGTGGGGAGGGAGGGGACGGTCACGTTCACCCGGTAGGGCTTTTAGCGGTGGGTGAGAAGACGGTCACGGGTCCTCCTCACGCGGCCACAGGCACCCGCCTCTCGGCCCGCTTTCGCTGTGTGCGAGTGAGTGAGTGTGCCTTTAGTGCGTGCTGCGCCCTACTACCATCCATAGCCAGCCAGGAGCTTCATTCAGGCTTGGTGCAGCCCCGCTGCGAGTGCGGATCCGTGTGCGAACCGCGACCCAGTGGACGCACCCCAGGATTTGGTGGTCTGAGGAGGAATTGGTGTTGCACTTGGGCGTGAGGAGAAGCCGCAAGGATGCCGAAGAACAAGGGAAAGGGAGGAAAGAACCGGAAGAGAGGAAAGAACGAGGCGGAGGACGAGAAGCGGGAGCTGGTGTTCAAGGAGGATGGGCAGGAGTACGCGCAGGTGTTGAGGATGCTCGGGAACGGGCGGTGCGAGGCGCTGTGCATCGATGGGACTAAGCGGCTTTGCCACATCCGGGGGAAGATGCACAAAAAGGTGTGGATTGCGTCGGGGGACATCATATTGGTGGGTCTGAGAGATTACCAGGACGACAAGGCGGACGTGATTCTGAAGTACCAGCCGGACGAGGCCAGGCTTTTGAAGGCGTACAGCGAGCTGCCCGAGAACGTGCGTCTGAACGAGGGTATCGCCGGAGGCATGGACGATGAGGAAGACGGTGGCGGTGACGACTACGTGGAATTCGAGGATGAAGACATCGACAAGATTTGAGGAGGGTGCGACGCTGGGTTTGTGTTGGGGGCGTACGCAGCGGAGGGCGTGGGAGGTGGGGGGGGGGGGGGGGGGGTGGTAACCCTAAGTGTCGATGATGTTTATGTTCGTAGGAACAGGGACGAAGCTCTGGTGGACAAGTTGGTGAGATTCCCGGTCTGCGAAGAGACGGAACGGAAGTGCGAAGTGTACATGGCGATGGAGTATGGAGGGCGATTTAGTGGAGTTATGTGGTAGCAGGGCGTCCGTGGTTGGGGAATAGGGTGGAAGGACCGGGAAGTGGGTGTCCTGGAAGTCCTGGAAGTGGGATATTTATGAATTCAGACTGCATGTGTTTTGTTTTTGCGATGTTCCGTCACTCACGTTGCTGGTGCTTGGAAGGAGGACCCGGAGAGGTCACATCAATATTGTGCAATCAAGTGGCTGAATGCGTATCAAGTGCAGGCATAAAGTCTGTCCCTTTTGGTTGCGCAACAGTGTTTACCAACAGCCACTGAGATGTAGTACCTTGTAAAGAGACTTCTAGATCATTGCGTTCAGTGCTATTACAATGGAAAGGTGAAAGAGAATCATGTAAAAACTATTGATTTTTATGTATTGTTGAGGGCATTATTCTAAACAATTCAAGACTGTTTTTTCTGAGCTATGAAATTAAGACGGTCATCCTAATAACCTTGTACTATTGTATATTTTACAATCACTTAAGTTGCCATCATCTTCTTAGATCTAGTTTTGGCTTTATTTCTATTTTTACACAGATGTTGGATGGCACATTGTTTTGTTTTGTTGTTTTTTGTGTTTTTGACACAAAGATGGGGTATATTCAGTGCATGGATACAGTGGATCATGGTTAATGAATTGACTTCTTAGCTCCTAATTCCAAAGAGATGGAATGAGCATGCTGAGTGAAGTAACTATCAACTAAGACTTCTACTTTTAGGTATAATTAATCCGTTCATGATTTTCTAAAATTCCATTTTATTGTTTGGTTTGATCTTGTGCCAAGAAGGTGTTTTATCATTCATGATTTGCCCCATTTCTCAAGGAGTGTAGTCTCATGTTTAATATGTACTGCCAATTTCTTCCTAATTGTTAATTAAGGATTTTTTTTGTATTTTACTAATTAATTTCAAAACATGCTTTTATATAGTCCACAAACATAGATCTCTAAGTAGCAACTATATTTTGTAAAAGTATGTAATTTGTGGAAGAGGCTTTCTTTCAAAGATAGCTTATTTCTATAAGAATGTTTTCTAAGATCTTCATTCCTACAAGTTTTAGGCGAGTTTGTAATAGGATGTGGTTCAATTCTAAATTTTGCAACTAACTAATACTTCCATAACCTATGTAGAATAGTTTCACAATCAATATTAATAGTTGGATTATAATGCACAATCAATATTAATAGTTGGATTAGCCTGTCTTCTCTAAGTATTAACTATCACACTTTTGTATTATATAAGTCAAATATTTTTTTTTCTTTTTGGAATTAGAATTTAGATCAAATGTCATTCTAGTTGAAAGAGAAGTCTTCTTCAAAAAGGAAATTCTATTTGTTGACAAGGTTTCTTTGAAGAATTATTTGGCCAAGTTTTGTTATGTAAGATACAAGAAAGATGGAAATTTAAGCCTAAGATTGAAACTCATTTGTCATTAGATTTTGCCAATCTTATTCTAAAATTTTGATCCACATACCATTTGTAAATTGGAGTAAAGGTCCATAAACAATCAAAGTGCTATTTTCATAGAACTTTTAAAATGGCGTTTATTATTCCAAATCTATTTAATTGGTTGATATTAACAATTTTAAGTTGAAGAGCACCTATTGTCAAGGACATGAATCTCAAAGAAAGAAAACTCAATACACTCTTATATCACTTGAAAAGATTCAAAAGTCACTTAAAGATGATAATATATTGAATTAGAATAGCTATTGCCACAGACAAAAAGATTGAAAAGTTTTGAAATAAGATTAATGACTAGAAAGGCATTGATAAGAATGAAGAAGGCTTTAGTCTTGCCTCTACATATATAATCTTATTAAGATCTATGTAATGATCTTTTATGAGACTTCCAACTCATGTTGACTTTGCAAGACACGTATCATGTTTTCTATATGTGTGCCACATAATAAACTTGTTCCACAAGCTACCAATACATATGACAAATGGTCATCTTATTGACCAAATTTTTAACCTATTAATCAAATTTTAAACCTATCAATCATATGTAAAGTCAAAATCATTTCTACAAAGCTTCTATGAAACTTCTTTAAAAAATATTATAAAAATGATATACTTTTACCTACTTCTACCTAATTACATACATAATTATCAAAATAAATATGTATATCTGTGATATCTATCATATATTTTGTAACAACATTTAGTCACCTTTTTAAAGTCAATTTGATCAAATCCTCCAATCTCTCAACACTTATAATTAGACCATGTTATATTTATTCTTCTTAGAGAGATATCATGCAAATACAATGTAAGAGATCAAATAAGAAGTTGAACATAAGTATTACAAACATTTAACTGGAAAATTTTAGAAATATTTTAGTATTATTCTATTAGATTTTAAAAGGTTCTATAAGATTTTAGAGAGATTCTTAAAATACTTTAGATGGTTCTAAATGGTTCTTAAAATATTCCAACAGATTTTAGAAAATTCTAAGAAAATTAAGGAAATTATCTAAGAAGCTTTTTAGAATTGCTTCATCTTCAAGCAACATGAAAACTTCTTAAGAAGCTTCTTAAATTTGCTTCTTTTTCAAGCAACATGAAAACTTCTTAAAAAGCTTCTTAAGGTTGCTTTATCTTTATACAACATGAGAACTTCTCAAGAAGCTTCTTAATACCTAATATATATTAAAGTTAAGATTGAAGAGATCTTCAATCTTAATAATAGATCTCTTATAATTTTAACTCACATTTGTTGGTACTGATCTTATATTCATTTCATTTAATCAAGTTCTTAGTAGCTTTCTTGTTGAAACTATTTTGTTCAACTTCTTGTTTTGTTTCTTTCATTTTATATTCATGACAATTTGTCGAGATTGCCTTCTTATTAATATTAGAAATTAATCCTTCTTGATAGAGAGTAGATTATCCTTCTTCTTGAAGGCATCTAAGTACTTTAGAGATTGTAGAGTATATTCCTCTAAATTGGTATTATTTAAAAACTCCCCTTTTTTCTTTTAAGATGAATGGAGGTGAAGATGTTAGTATAGTTGAGTCTCTTGAGTCTAAAGATAGAAGTTATTATGAACACATTGAATGCTTTATCTTATAGAATTGCTGAAATTGAAGATTTTTGCAAGATTTCATGGTGATGCAAGACCAAGAGAAATTTAGCATATGATGCAACTACTTTCTCAAACTTCTACATCCAAGGAGGTGGTGGTACATGTACCTCAACAAGAAAATTTATCTATTCAATAGTATAAAGAGCCTTAGATTAGTCTTTTAAAAAAGTTAAATGACATATATTCCAAGTTTCAAAGGATTATTTATTAAATTTGATTAGTAACTTTTTTATAACTTAAGCACTATCTAATAGAAGAATCATGAGTTAGTTTAGTTGGAACCTTATTCACAATTCAAGTCTTATCTTGGTTTGTTCTTTTATTTGAAAAAAGATCTCTAATCTTGAACAACTTTGAAGCTTTTTTAGAAGCATTTGTAGAAGCATTTTGAGAACATGACAAGGCCCAATGGATGATAATAAAGATTCACTTATTATTTTAGGAGTCATATTTTGTATCAATTTATACATTTGATTTTAAGAAATTGGCTTGTGACATCAATTAGGATGAAGAAGTTCTTATAAATCAATTTTATTGGAGACTAGAGAATGATGTGATAAATCTATTATAATTTTTTTTTTAATCCTCAAGCATTCAATGAAGCTTTCAACCAAGATTTGATGTGCAATTCTTAATTATTACAATGTTGTCAAGATCAAAATTCATGGATTTTGGCAAAACAATGCATTAGAAATTTGTACTTTCTTGCTTCAGTAAATATATTACATCCACACGTTGAAGCTAAAAATATTTAAATTGATGCAATATGGTTTAAATCTCTTACAATAGAAGAAAAGAAGCATCAATTTTAATAAGGCCTATTCTTATAATAAAATAAAATAGGTCAATAATCTTAGAATTGTCCAAAGAAACAACTTAAAACTAAGACTAGGAGTTTAATTGTTTAGAAAAGAAAGAAATTCAGCCACAATAGAAAGCATATAATTGAACATTTCAACACCTCAAATTTATCAAGGTCCTTCTTTCTCTGCCCAGTCTACATGTTGTTCTATTATATCTTTTTTTCTTAGTTCAAAAAAACTTCAAACAAATGCCTTATTAGATTCAAGAACATTTCCTTACTTTTTAGATGAAGAATTTTCTAAACTTCATAAAATCCCTTCAGTATAAAAGCCAAAACTTATATACATAGAAATAATAAATGGTCAATCTTTATCTTCAAGTAATATTATTCATGAGACTATATTATTAAATATATCATTTGAAGGCCATAATAGCAAAATAATATTTAATATTATTAAAAATCCATCTAATCATATCATTTTAGGACTTTTATGGTTAAAAAGATTGGAGAATTTATAAGGTTAAATTTTATACATGTATATAATCCATCTATAGATTGAAGGCTTTATAAGGTTAAATTTTCCATAGAATTCTTTTGAAAAAAATTTATCAAAAAGTCATCAATAACAAAGTCAAATTCCTTATTTCTTGCAGCAAAAGCTTTTATGAAATCGACTAAGAAAGAGATGCCATTTTTCATTTATGCAAATTTAGTTCATAAAGAAGTAAGCTTGCCAATAGCTATTCCAAAATAATATAAGAGATTTTAAGATATCTTCAAAAAAAAAATGTTGACATATTTTTGAGACATCATTTGTATGATTGTACCATTGAGCTTTAAGAAAGAACTCAACCACTATTTGGTCCAATCTACAACTTATCAAAAAACAAGCTTATGATATTAAAAGATTATATTGATAAAAATCTTGCAAAAAACTTTATTTGACATTCCAAATCTCTAATAGATGTACTAATATTTTTCATAAAGAAAAAAAAAAATAGATCTTTATAAATGTATATTTTTTATCTTAGCTTCAACAAAATAATGGTGAAGGATTATTACTCGTTATTTTTAATATCAAGGTTTTTGGAGCAACTTGGTCAAGCTAAGATGTACATTAGAATAGATTTCTATAGAACGTACAATTTGATACAAATTAAAGAAGGAGATGAATAGAAGAGAATATTTTTAATAGAGTATGGATATTTTGAATATAATCTCAGGCCTTTTTTATTGATACATGCTCTAATTATATTATAGCATTTGATAAATGATATTTTTCTAGAATTTTCAAACAAGTTTGTTGTTTGCTATCTTAGTAATATCTTAATTTTTTCTAAGAGTATAAAAGAATATAAAAAATATATGAGATTAATCTTACAAAAGTTATAGAATATAAGATTATATGCCAAATAGAAGAAATGTATATTCTATTAGCCAAAAGTAATATTACTTGGATATGTTATATCTAATGAAGGCTTATTGATGGATCTTAAGAAAATTTGAGCTGTAATGAAGTGAAAAATTCCAAAGACAATATGAGATGTACAATAT